GAGGAGTAGTTGTAGTTGGAGGAGTAGGGCAGATGAACTGGTTTTCTTCCAGGGATATGACTTCCAGTCCATGAAGATTTTCCGGAGAATTGCAGACCACTGGAGAACTGAGCTTTTTAGAGTTTGCTTTTAACCAGACATGAAACTGAACTAGATTACAGTCACAGTTCCAGGGATTTTGACTGAGGTCAAGCTTTTTTAGTTTAAGTAAATGCTCAAAAATATCACCTGGAAGTTCTTGTAACTGGTTGTGATCCAATCTTAGTGAAGTCAGGGACTGTAGCATTTCAAACACATCTGCATCCAGTGAACTGATCTTGTTTTCCTGTAAGTTCAGCTGCGTGAGCTCCTCAAGGCCTTCAAAGTTCTCAGCAGACAAGGTGACCAAATGATTGTTAGATAGGTCCAGAGTCTTGATTTTCCCCACAGGCTTAAATATTGCTGCAGGAAGACTGCTGAGATGGTTCTGACTTAGATTTAGGGCAGTAAGTTTGGGCATTTCTCCAAAAAGCACTGGTGGCAGATTTGTCAGTCTGTTATTGTTCAGGGTCAGTGTTTTCAGCAGAGGAATGCAGACCAAAAGGTTTTCAGGTAAGCCGGTGAGAAGGTTATCATGCAAGTAAAGAATTGTCAGCTTTTCTTTATGTATAAAGAGATTTGGTGACAATTCTGCAATTTTGTTTTTGTTCAGATCAATTTCCTTCAGGTTTGGCAGATTATGGAACATATCTCCAGGAATGTCAGTCAGCTGATTCCCGTTGAGTCGTAGTTTTAGCAGTTTGTATAGTTTAGAAAACAAGTTGGTGCTCACACTGGATATGTTGTTTTTGCCCAAATGGAGAATAAGGAGGTTCTCAAGATCATCAAATGTTCCTTCTTCAATTGATTCAATCCTATTCTCTTGTAAATAGATATTTTCAACTTTTTTAAGGTTATCAAACAAGCCTTTTTCCAAACTGCGCAGCATGTTACCATTCAATTTAATGTTCTCCAGGTTGACGAGATCTTTAAAAACTCCTACTGGCATATCTGTTAATGGAGTCCTGGTGATCTCAATACTGTCCAAGGATCTCAAACCTTCAAAAACTCCTTCTGGCACAGATGTTAGTTGAGCTCCTGAGAAAGCAATGTTCTTCAGGAATACCAAACCTTCAAAAGCTCCCGGCTCAACAGCTGACATTGGGGTATTCGTGAACTCCAACCTTTCGAGGTGTGAGTTGTTGATGAAGGCTGCTTCAGGGATTGTTTGAAGCTGACTAGCGATAAAGAAAACCTCCGTCACACCTTCTTTGAGCGTCTGAGGAATTTCACTGACAGCCTCACTAAACGTCTGCTGATTCGCTTTGACTTCGTCACTGATTTGACTTGATGAAAACTCAATCAGTAATGATATGAAAAGAATGATGATTTCCCTTTTTGACATGGTTTTTCACTATTGAAAAGAGAGGAAAAAATTGAGAAATGTGATTTGAGAAGCACACAGATTTCATTTACCTTCTCAGGCAACGTAAGGGAACATTTAGTAGTTTATAGTAGTGTTTAGCACGTCATCTTACAACATAGCTTTAAGATCGATACAGCTTTAAGATTAACTTTATTAATCCTTTGGGAGTTCCTTTGGGGAAATTTAGGAAAAACTAAAACTTGGCCTAAAATATAGCCGAACCATATATGGCTGTGTTTTAGTCTGTGAAGTGGCTTGGCTATTGAATGATGTGTTTTTTAGTGTGAAAACAACACATCATTCAATAACCAAGTCACTTCATAACTTTGATTGACATTTAAAATCACAATCAATTGTCAAAAATTAAAGACTTACCTGATTTTTATTTATTTTTTCAAAAATGAAGCAAAACGCAGTTGTTTTTCGTGATGAGACACAAAACAAGTGTCATTAACTATCTTCTCTGACGGTGTTGGACAGCAGGTCTTCAGCGTGGTGCGTCTCACAGCGTGAGGTGTGGTCCAACACGTGTGCAGCAGAGATAAGAGCAGCAACGTTGGCTTTATTTATTCATGTCTGATACCATGTTCCAGCACATCACAGACAGCTTTCCACTGAATGTTCACATTGATAGGTTAACATTTGATCTATTGCATAAGACATTTTTTATTGTTTTTTATTGCTTTCATTTTTATGTTTTATATATCCTCTGATTATTTTCCCTAACCACTTCGTGGTTTCTCAGAACCAGGATTTCTTTCCCAGTGTTATTTGAATTTTCTTCCAGGAGATGGCGCTGCTTTATCTTTTAACAAATGAAGTAAAAACATTGAGGGAGTTTTTGAAGTTACTACTAAATGTGTTGCTCCTGAAAGTATCTTTACCATATATTTTTGAAAGTTATTTCTATAACTTTATGTTTGAGAGAGAATCTGCCTCGACCTTTACCTAAAAAATATGGTGTTGCCCTGGTGGCAGTGGTGGGTAGTAACGAGTTAAATTTACTCCGTTAAGTTTACGTGAGTAAGTCTTTCAAAATAAAATACTTCCGGGAGTAGTTTTAAATCACCATACTTTACTTTACTTTACTTGAATAGATTTATGAAGAAGAAAGAGTTTACTCTTACTCTACATTAGGCTATACTGAGCTCGTTACTTTTATCAGAGACACTGGATAAAACTTTAGTTATTCAGTATCCAGTCTCTATTCCTCCATGATCCAGTATCTCTACTTTTATTTTGTCAGAGAGAGAGAGAGACTTCCGCCCAAGGCTCGCGTGACTGTGTTTAACCAATAAAACGTAGACCAGTCTCGTCACGTGACCATACTCAATCTCAGCGGCGGGACGGATTATTTAGCGGCTACTGCGGTCGATATTTACCGTCTTTGATAGCGAAAAATGGTAGAAACAACGGTCGACAATGCAGACAAAGACGAGGAGGAACAGCCCGGGACTCATGTTGAAAACATGTTCAGTTTACAAACAGTGCGGAACAGCAGCGACATCATGCGGTGTCTTTTGTCTCTCCCAAAACAAAGAGATATTTTAGCATTCAAAAACTCAACGTCTAACCTGAGGAAATATGTTGCGGTAAGTTTAACCTAAAATCGTTTTACTGAGTACTTGAGTACTTTTTTACTCTTACTCAAGTAATTATTTGGATGACTACTTTTTACTCCTACTTGAGTAGTATTATTCTGAAGTAACAGTACTTTTACTTGAGTGTCATTTTTGGCTACGCTGAGCTCACTGTCCTCACATACCGACTCACTATGGTGAAAGTTTAAATGCAGAGGACAAAAAAAAAAAAAAATCAACATGTAAAAACTCAAATCAGTGCATTTATTCAGTGTAACGTGTCATATTGTTAGTTATAAACAGTGTACACTGTTTATTGTACATTTACATTAAGATGTAATTTTGCTCAAATGTTTTGTTTTTGGCCCAAACTGCCATAATGTAAGGTGTGAGAAAAATATAATATGTGATTCTATTGCAAACCATTTTACTTTCATAAAAGTTTCATAAAAAGGTTTTACAATGATGACATTCCTGATTTTAAAGCACACACAGCTTTCAGGAAAATGAATGAAAGTGGAAAAAGACAAAGTTCTTCCTGTGCCCGTTGACCCTACTTTTTCAACCTAACTACTGTCATTAGTGAGTACTACTT